AAGATTATGGCCGATTTCTCCCACCCTGGACACTCTCTGTTTCAGCTACTCCCCTCCGGCAGAAGGCTTCGGTCCATCAGGACCAAAACCTCACGCCATAAAAACAGTTTCTTCCCATCTGCTGCTGGCCTGTTAAACAAGGCCAAGGGCTAACACTGTTTTTAACATTTGATCTACATAACGACACGTTGCTGATATTAACTATGTTTCCCTATTTGTATTTTTAAATTATATCTTAAAGTTATTTTATATTCGATATTTATTTAATTTTATATACTTCAGCCCCTTAGTGTTAGACTTTTAACCCTTATTATAGTAAGACTTGTTTAAAACTTATTTAAGATTTTAGATTCCTATATGTTGAATGTATGCACCATCCTGCCAAAGTAAATTCCGTGTCGGTGTGAACTTACATGGCGAATAAAACCCTTTCTGATTCTGATTCTGATGTAGACAATATGACTGCCTCTTCAGCTGCTACTATGTCGACCAAATGTAAGGACAACCTGATTTCCAAATTTAACCTCCTCTTCAACAAAAGACTGGACCCACACACCAAAAAGTCAGACGTTAACAAAGTCGTAATTAATCGCAGTCACACCTAAACACATACCAGTTAATGATATAATTGCCCAAGTAGACGTTGCTCTCAGGGGCCTGGGTCACATCGCTGCGGACGTAGCAAGATCTGAAATCGCTGCAACCCTCAAAAACGCTAAGCTGCCAGCTAGCAACCTCAGCAAAGATGAGCGTTTTGAATTATATAAATTAAAAAAGAGGGATGATATTGTAGTCCTCTCAGCTGACAAGGGCAATGCTACTGTCATCATGGATAAAATGGAATACAACAACAAAATTAAAGAATTACTCGACGATGGTAGTTATACAAAAATAAAAAAGAGATCCCACCAACAGCCTCGTCACACAAACCAACAAAATAATTTCTGATTCAACCGCATTAATTGATCAATCTAAACAGTTTTCGTTGAAACCTTCTGCTGCCAGGCCACCAAGATTATACGGCTTACCAAAAATACATGAAGTAGATACACCCCTTCGTCCCATCGTCTCTACTATCAACTCCCCCACCTAGAAACTGGCTCGTTTTTTGTGAGAAATCCTGCGTCCTTTCACTGGAAAAACCACCTCTGCGGTACAAAATTCTACTCACCTGGTATCGACAATCAAGGGTATTTCCCTGTCCCCAGACGACCTGCTTGTCAGTTTTGATGTAGTTTCCTTATTCACCAAGGTTCCTGTACCTGACACCATCGCAATCATTGAAGACTTGGTTCATCAAGGACTAAACACTGAGGTACCCCCCCTGGTGAGACACTGTTTAACTAATACATACTTCACTTGGAATGGAACTTTCTACAAACAAACTGAGGACACCCCAATGGGCTCCCCCCTATCTCCGGTTATAGCTAACATTTTCATGGAGAAATTTGAGACTGACGCCATCCAGACTGCCACTCTGCGCCCAACCTTATGGAAGAGGTATGTGGATGACACTTTTGTCATCTGGCCACATGGCCGGCCTGCTCTAGACCAATTCTTCGACCACATCAATTCCATACACCCAGCCATCAGATTTACCATGGAAGTCGAAAAAGATGGCAAGCTACCTTTTTTGGATGTCCTAATTAAAAAGAGACCTGATGGTTCAATGAGCCACTCTGTCTATAGGAAAGCTACCCATACGGATGCTTATCTGAAACCGGATTCCCACCACCATCCATCACAGAAGAACTCTCTTATCAAGACTCTGTATCATAGAGCCCAATGCATATCTGACCAGGAACACATAGGCAGTCAACTCAAGCACGTACACCGAGCTCTTAAGGCTAATTGTTACTCCGACTATACAATCCGCAAAGCTATCACTCAAACCATGAAGGACCCTCTTGAGGAGCCTTTCAAAACCATCACTTTACCCTAGATTGCGGGGATCACAAAAAAGATCTCCAATCTTGAATAAACACAAGATCCAGGTCCGTTTCAACACATTACATAAAATCCGTGATCTGGTTCCGTCTGTAAAATATGTGATTCCGGACATACAGTACCCTGGTATCTACAAACTAAGTTGCCTCTGTGGTAGTAGTTACGTTGGAGAAACCAAACTCCATGCCTCGGACCGCATTTGTGAACACAAAGCAGACCTTAAACACGGTAGTAACCAACACCTCGGCCGTGGCAGATCATTGTTATAATTCAGTAGGCTCACATGACATTGACTTTTCCAAGACAGAGGTTCTTTGTAAGCCATCTGGCTACCATGAGAAATTCGTTCATGAGGCTATCCACATATACAAGCACAGAGACAATTTCAATAGAGAAGATGGATTCTGGCTTAGCAATCATTGGAAAGATTTGATAAACCATTTCAGGTCTTAATTGATTGTTCACGCTTACAGTGGCTTTCAGACAGCATACATTAATTTTTCGTCTCCCCCCCTCCTCTTTTCAGAACATAGAAGGACTAGTCCTTCTAAATAAACTGCCAAATCGCTGCGTGGCGCTGACGTTTTTTATAAATAAATAAATACACCGTTTCAAAATAAATACATTTATGCAAACCGACACACCTGATGACGACCGTTTGTGTTATGGTCGAAACGTCGTGAGAATTTTTATTGTTTTATATATATATTATTATTGTTTCCATTAAACGTGACTTTACCGAAAGAGCTAAGAATAAAAAAAACACTGATAATATATGCATTGTCTTTTGAACCGATTGGTCCACACCAGAGACAGCTTTCTCTAGAGCCTAGTCTCAAACAGTGTTGGACCAGAGGATTCCAAAAGGTGAACAGCACAGAGACACGATTCCTTGCATAAGGTTTCTATTTAGTGTTTCAACATCAACACAACCGTTTTATCGCCAGAAAGGGAAAAAAACCTATTCTTATTTTTTGACACTGGCAAGGGAGGTCCCCAAGGGTCACTATGCACTGCTCAGCGAGCCGTCACGGGACGGGGGGGGGCCTTTTCCCGTGATGCGACAACACCGAAAGTACAATCCGGATATACAATTGTAGGCGGGGGGGGGGGGGGGGGTGGGATTTTTTGTTGTAACAAAAAAAGAACCAGAAAAATTAAAAATTCGCTTTGATGTGCGACCAAAACTGCGGCGACGCACAAGTAACGTTTGTGAAAGCACGACCTGGAACGCGAACCGCCGTTCATTCGTCGGCCAGAGTCGCGCACGGCAAAAGCGTGACGTGAGCGGGGCCCTGAATTTTTCAGCACGGCGTACGGCCAGCACACACGCAGCGTAAAAATAACCTCAATCGCGAGATTATAAAACACTCCGGCCTGTGAAAATACAACGGCCGTCGGACTCTGCGCAGCGATACGGTCAGGCGATCATTCATCTGGTCACAAGCGTCGTTCACAGCCGCCGTTGCAACCGCTACGTCGCTCTCGCAAAAAGGGAAATGTGATAATTGTGCTGGCATCCTCCGGCTGAGGGCTCCACGTGGCTTGCTCGTCGTGAGATTCTGAGCACACTCCCATCGTCCCCCCGCCCCCCCCCCCCATGTCAGATTAACTTTCTCTCTCGCTCTCTCCTGCTCGTGCTCACTCTCGCTTGCTCGAGCGGGAATTAAACTCGGCTCACCAGTTTCGTAGTGCAGTGCGCGCCTACCACTGCGTGCCACAGCTCCACAATTAAACCACCACCACACTACAAGTGCGTTCTAGTGAATCCGCAGCCCCGCGCACGATGCCTACACAAAACTAGGCACGCGCTCGCCTTCCTCGGATTTGATTTATCATGTTTCGTGCTCACGTTTCCCATTGCTTTGGCAGGTTCCTTAAAGGCTTATTTCACTTAATCTTCCCTTCGTTACTCATATTGGCCCCAAAAAATAAAATACCGACAGGGAAAATCCTGGTGAAATGTGCAACATTATGGCGCGACGGAAACACTAAGGACAAATGCTTCGGCATGTTGTGTTTAGAAGTGGTGGGTGGCGCAGAGAGCTAATGTACTGAGTCAGGGTACGAAGCCAGCGCCTCTTTGATCCAGGGTTCAAGTCCCCTTGGGAGATGAAATGCGAAAGATTAATATTTTCTGCCCGGGGAACAAAAGGGCCGTTTCCACTGGCTGTGCAACGGCGTTTTCTTTTTCGAACGTCCAGAATGTCTGAGGTGGATTTGATGGATCTGCTCTGTTTGCCGGGGTACAAAGCGGCCACGCAATCTGAACCTGTACGAATACAACAAAACGAGTGTTTGAACTCCGGGAAAGTACCGACAGATTGGCCCCGTTTGAAAAGCGGATCCTTAAAAAAAACGTTCGTGGACAAAAAATAAGTAACTTTAAAAAAAAAGTTGAAAAGTTGGGGTTGGGAAAAACACATTTAAACTTTGTGAATATAACAACGTTATGTTAAAACATCTAATCGTGTGAAAGACGGAGTCAAAAAAGGCATCAGCTTAAGTCTACGTAATCTTGACAACGCCTTGATTATTCCTCTTTCGTTCACTTAGTGGATTATTGTATGTTATTTCACGTGAGAAAACTAATATTGTCGCACAATAACGGCTGACAAAAGTAAGCAACCCGAGGAACACTGCAGTCGTACGTCCATAGTGTATCAAAATCATTTCTGTGGGACTGCAACATTGGTATAAAAAAACTAAACCTATTTTTATTTTACCAGGTAAGGCCCACTGAGCTTTGACGCTCTTTTTCATAAACGACGTGGCCACAAATGATGGCTCAACAAAGTGGCTTGTCACGTGCAAATGTACAGCAGCCAAATACTGTAAACGCGTGCTGTTGATTCTAAATGTGGAGGGAAAAACCGGGGACCCGGAGGAAAATCCGTGCGAAAAATTCAAATTTCCGGCAGGCGTCAGGGTTGGGATCGAACCCACGACCTCCTGTATACCGAGTGAGGTAGTTCACTTCTCGCTGCTGTGGGGCAAGATGTTAATGCGTTGGCCGTTTACACTTGTGGAATGATGCATTGGCGCGAGCTTACCATAAATCCCTGTAGAAATGCATGGAAACGCCTAAATGGGAAGAGGGAAGACAAAACATAAATATATCATCATGACCATCATCATCAACAACAACAGGCACAGGATCGATCCTCAGCTGGATGAAGGCTTCCCCGCAGCTGTCACCGTCCATCACGGTCTCGCGCGATGCATCAATCCGATGTGGCTCATGGAAAACGGCTGATATCATCGCTCCATCTCCATGCCGGACGTGGTGTTGGGGTGCCTTCCCCCTCCGTTGGCTGCCACTCTGTCATCACGACCGCCACAATACCTCTTCAAGCCACGTGTCCTGCCCGAGTTCACTTCACCGTACAAGTCAATCTGACGTCTCTACCGCGCACACACGCTCCCCAATCGCTAATAAATTTATATTGCACGCCAAATGTACTCGTGAATACTGGAAAGTGTTAATGAACTTAATTAACCATAAATTATATTACAATACATGCACGCCGTGACTAAGTAACCTGTCAAGGATTTCAATGAAAATGCAAGTTATAAAAAAAATGGCAATTTTAATTTATGACTAAATTGCCATAACACCATAATCATTACCCTGGGGTTTAGATTATTATAAGCAAGTACATTTAATAAGCACTCACTGGGCGTAACTTCTTTGCATTAACGAGGCAAGTTTCGCTGTAGTGCATATGACTGACTGCCTTAACATCCAAATTCAGGGAGTTGGCAAATGCACCCATCCAGCCTCTGTTGCAAATCTCTCGTGTTATTATTATTCATGTTGCTCCAAAAAAAGTAATTTCCATAACCATTGTAGCCAAGATTGAATCAATGCTAAACACAAACATGCAATTTTTTTCTCCGTTTCATTTATCTGAAGAATTTTTTTTTAATGAATCTGGATTTCATCTGCCACCGTGTTTTTAACTGTACAATTGGCATCAATGCCCCCAAATAATCACATTTCCCTTACCTCAACGCTGATCGAGGAGCCTCACCATCACATTGGACGAACGACCCAGGAGAGATGGGAGAGGTCCTCCATGTGACCTCTCTTCAAGTGGCCTCTCTCGCACCGATGAGCCTCCACCCAGGGGTTTCTACCACGGCAATCAACGGAAGCTCCCTCCTCGAGCATTTCCCTTCCACCAAATCCCCTCCCCCCTCCCCTCCTCACCACGGACCGCAGCTCCTTGTCCTCCACGATGTGCAGGCACTCGCTGTAGCAGCCATCCAGCTGCTTTCGCTCCTCGGGCGTGGGCACGCTGTCCATCACGCGCGGCCCCACCGTGTGGATCACGTCTGCACGAGACGGGCGGGGGGCGGTGGGACACGAGGCCGGCCAACGTTACGGGATGCACGAGGTATACAAGGCCCGGGGCCTTATCCCTCTTCTCATACACCACAGTCGCAGCCGTCTCCGGTATGGGGTACGTGGAGGTATTGGCCCTGTGAGTGGCCCGGTGCTTCGCCCGGTGAGTGGCCCTGGCAAGGCCCTTCACTCCGAGGTGCACTGCACGTCCCTGTGGTCGTGCGATTCGCCGCGGTCTCGTGTGCCAGTGCCGTTAAGGGTGGCACCGCTTCCGCCTGCTCTACTTCTGACCTCCCAGAGCCGGGGCGTTCACGTCGCGGCTCCCCCCGTCGGATTCCCCGAACTCGCGAATCCTAACCCAGCACAAGGAAGCTATGTATATAACGAGGTGACTTGCCACGCTTAACGAGGTGACTGGGCACGCATAACTAGGTGACTGCCCAGGCATACCGAGGTGACTGGCCAGGCATATCAACGTGACTGGCCACGCACAACGAGGTGATTGGCCAGGCATATCAACGTGACTGGCCACGCACAACGAGGTGACTGGCCACACACAACGAGGTGACTGGCCATGCAGGCAACACGTCTCCGGATGCCGGTGTGGTGCATCGGCTGGACGCTGGACTTGCGATCCAAAGGGCGCGTTGGCAGTTGATGCAATGGGGCAAATTTATTACAAATCCCTCCGCCTCTGTCCACCCAGCAGTGTACACGGGTTATACCGCAGTTAGTTGATCGGCAAGAACACACGTGGCGGGCTAAAGTGTGGGTACACACCCATCTCTTCCGAGGTGTCTGGCCAATGTGGAAGGGTGGGCCAAAAATACCCTCTAGGGGTACTTCCAGAGCTCCCACGAGTGCAACAGGCCCTTCTGCCGGCAGTGGCGTGAGTAATAAGTTGCAGTGCTGCACCTTTGCCTTGACCTCTTTGGTCAGGGTCAGGATTAAGGGTAGAGGGGAACGCGAGGGATTCTGGGGAAAATGCATGAATTAATGAATGAAGAGGGTGGGTAATAAAGTGCCCAAAATGATGTGGATAAAAAAACTCAATATGCTGAAATACCAAAGGCCAAATATATTGTGCAATCAAAAATAGTTGCAAACAGATTGAAAAACCCCCCCCCCAAAAATGTAGTCGAGTTAAAATAATGGAGAGAGAAAGTACACAGATGAAGACGTGGCCAACATCATGCATAATAGGACAATATTGTTTTAAATTAATTTAAAATAGACTTGAAATGAAGAGACCGTTTACACATAACAAATGACGTCCCAAAACGAATTACGCGTTGCCATGAATCACCCTCCCATTGTTACCTCCCGCATGGACCACAATTGACGGCACAGCGGCCGTGTCAGCCGTTGCTCAAACCGCAAAGCGCCCGAACAAGGGACTGAAGAACCTTGGTCGACGTGCCAGCCACTTCACATTTTTCAACGAATATCGGCAACAACAAAAAAATAAAGGAACATAAACCATCACGCAAACTCCGGTCATCCTCGCAGCAGCAGCAGCGGCGGCGGCGGCGGCTTTTGGCTGGCCATCGAACAAAGATAGTCACCGCATTGCGTGGCGCTATCAGACACGCTTCTGCGGCCGTCTGGAACACTCTTCCTTCCGATATTAGGAAGCCACTGGACCTATGCACTTTTAAATAATCTAGATTGAAAACACATTTCTTTGAAACTGCTTTTTGTGTCTACTTTGTTGTCCTTCCCCTGCACCTCCGATTAGCACGGTTGGCAACGCATGGTGTCAAAGAAGTTCAACATACATAATGGCAGAACAATGGTAGCTTTTTTCAAGAAGAAAAAAATGTGCACCGTGTGAAACGTAACTCTTCCGAGACGTTTTGGAGTTTTCAGGCCCATCCGACCGTCAGAAACTCCTTATCGACCTAGGTTTCTCAATAGAGCACGTTTCCTCGTGATGGCCATCTTGTTCTCGCGAGAGATTCCATGCCATCTTTAACTTCACCCTCGTCGCATTCTGTCCAACTCTGGTGGTCAGATCGGAGCCACTCAACGCCTGGAAGCTTCTGTTCCCGCGCGCCCCCGATACCTAACACCGTGCTTCAGTGTACGTACTGTACGTCACACACCCACAGTACAACTGGGTTTCCAGGTCTCGTTTGCGAGAAACGTTATTGTTTATTTTCCGAGTTGGTCATCGCCACCGACGGACGCCTCTAGTGAATGCACGGTCGACTCGGCGACACCGTACGGCTCGGGGGTCGGTGCAGGAAACGGAAAATTCCTATGGCGGGCATGTGCCAAACGCCGCACAGAGCGACGGCAACAACCGCCGCCGCCAGGAGCGACCAATTATTTAAACGCGTGCAGTCAATTACGCCTGCACCTTATCCATTCCTTTAATACGTTTTGTAATTTACGTGCCTCTGACACATAGGCAGTGGTGGGGAGGTAAGGGGGAGGAGGAGGAGGGGGGAGGGAGGGGTGTTTTAACAGAGGAACGGGCAGGAAAATTAGTGTGCATTTCAATTTTCGTCACAGGCCAGGCCACGTTTTTCTGAGTGCCCACATCCAGTGTGGCTCTGGGAGTTAAACTGATGGATTGACTCGGTGTTTTTCCAAGCCAAGCACATTGAGGCCGTCTTCAGTTACAACACAAACAGTTCATTGGATTATTGAAGGCTCTGGTTTAAAGACGAATAACATTGCACAATTTCTCTCTTTTAAAGCGGGGGGGGGGGGGGGGGGGTGTAGGTTTTAGCTTTCAGCATGTGGTGCTCTCATTACCGGCTATTGCGATTTAATTTTGCACAAATCGTTTGTGCTACAGATACGGTGCGTGCGTACGTAAGACAAACAGTAAAAGGTTACGAGCCATGAATAGATGAATAGACTCAAATTGACCTCGCTGACGTTGACCCGTCCGTGCAGGGGAAATCGAAAAGACTTTTAAGAGCAGGAATTTAAAAAGAGGCTCGTACAGTAAACTGCAAAAAACTAAAAAAAGGAACGTGATCAGCCAAAGAAAATTTCATGGACTGCAATGCCAGGGGTGGGATAAGTGCCACAGGAAAATCATTCACAAAAATCATCGCAATCGCCAATGTCATATAGACGAGAAGGCAAATTGATTGTACCTACGATGTTAGACGAGAGGACATTATACAACTTTGGGACTTGCAAAAATAAACTGTGAACATTAGAGAAACGGTGTGTGAATCATTTTAATTTGCAGGTATTACGGGTTGCCGTTGAACCTCTATAAATAATAGCCAATTCGTGAATTCACTCTACAGTGTTAGCCCGACTCGTTTGCAGTGATAAGACAAGTGTTTTTTTTTTATGATGGCGGTGGAGAAGAATATTCAGTCCCTTTACTATCATGTGATCTATGTATATTGCCGAGTGCTTTTGTGTTTGAATAGAAAGTTAATTTACAAAGGTCTGCGGCAATGCCACGCGAGTTGTGTACTTTGCTATGTTTGCCACAAAGTGGTGATTTTACAAATACGCTGACAAACAAATTAAAAAAGCACAGCTGTCGTGACATTTAAAAAATCCTCATCATGGGTTTTTTGCTTCCTGTTTGTAGCATAAAGACGCAAGCTTCGCATAACCAAACAACATCCGTGGCATCTATGTGACCTCCCTTCATGACGGAAAATAATATAAGTTCCCTATTGGATTGTGTAACAAAAACACAAGGCCTTTGCGTTACTTTTCAGTAAAGAACGCAACACCACTACACATGTGAATAGAGAAATGTTACTTCCTGGAACGGAAGACATTAAGCGCTTCTGCGGCCGTCTGAAACACTCTTCCTTCCTATATTAGGATGCCACTATGCACTTTTAAATCATCTAGATTGAAGACAAATTTCTTCATAGCTGCTTTGTGTTTAGTTTTTTGTCCTTCCCCGCACCTCCGATTAGCACGGTTGGCTACGTACGGCGTGAAAGAAGATTAACGTACGTGCTCGCGCCGAGCACGCACGTCTTTGCGGACTTTGGCAAACGTGCTGTGTCGCTGCTGTAGACAGCAGATTAATAGAAGCACCGTCCCATAAGGGTCCCCTATTGCGCGTGTTATTTTTGGTCAGGTCGGGACCGGGGATGGGGGCTGAGAAAGCTGAGCGTTACACTACATTACCCAGCGGGACCCCGGCTTCATGCACCGTGAGCAACATTGTCATATCAGGCTTTATTGCCCAGAAAGTATGTGAAATGTTACAAATATAGAATCCATGTACTCGCGAAAATCTGTCTTGTTTTTCCACCTCCGCCCCCCCCCCCCAGGCGGAGAATGCTGGGGAAAATGTTGCCAGGGAACACTTGCTCAACAATGCGCGCATTCATTTGTTTCCCAAGCGTATTCTGATCCGTGCTCATCGGTACAAGCCAGGAGGCAAAACATCTTCGATTCTGATCTCTCGCACACATGCTGGAGAATGGCCTGTGGAAGGGGACAACGTAGCACTACTTCTGAGAGCCCTTTAACTGCCTCTTGAACCCACCAAGGTAGCGCACTGTCTCAAAACTGCCCTGCGACAGAAGCATTTGTCGCGTGGCCATCTAACCAATTTAACCACGCGAATGAAATTGGCCCGAAGAGCTGAATATACGACGTCGTTAAGCCGGAACAAAATTTAACATGATGGCCCTTTTGTCCAGCCATTAAGTGCCCAAAATAAGGACATAAAACTCAATTGAGAACACCACGGGTGGTTGCCCAAGATTCGAACTCGGGATCTCAACTCTCCTGGCTCGGTGACCCGATACAGAATTAGCCCTTTGCAGTCAGCCAGTCAACCAGCCAGTGCCATAAAGCACGCAAGTGAATGCTGGAGGCAGTCTTTCCCCCCTCGCTAGTGCTCACGTGCAAAGCGCTCGGTGTTCATCGTAGGCGGATGCACGCAGGGGAGAGCCAGGCTTTACGTGGGTTTGGCTACTTACCGAACTGTGGTTGGCTGGAAGCGTTTAGGGCTGTGAGATGGCCTTTTTTAGACAAAGATTCCCCCTGACAGCCTTACCAGACTGTAGGGGCAAGTGCTGTTAGCGAGCACCTATGAAGGCTGGGACGGCACACGAGGGAGTGGGCGGCCAGCACCCCGCCGGGCCGCCTTTGTCTCCCCAGTGGCGATGTTTTTACACACTGCACCAGGTACTCATTTGAGGTGGAGTAGACCTCGGGGAGGCCCAGGACCGGTTCCAATAGTCGTCACCGGTGTTGGCCGTGAGCGCAAATCAAACCTGGGTGGTCGCTGGTTTCATGGCCCAGAACGGTAACCCTCTACACCACATTGGCCTGTGACCTCCCACTGACACGTGCATAAGAGGACCATGCCCTATTTATTAGTGTACATCCGCCCTTAAACGACGGCCGCTGTAATTCCCTGTTGAGTGATACCCACATAGTTAGTCTTACAGAAGAGGCACAATTGAACGAATTCTGCAAAAGTAAATGCGCAGTAAATCATGAGCATTCTTCTCCACGGTGGGGGGGGGGGGGATGTCATTTCTACCATACACTTATTGCAAACACAGCGATATTAAGTGACACATTTGCCAGGGCCGAGAGAGAAGGGTTGGTTACCAGGTCTCAGACTTCAGATGTTGGGTGTTTTTTTTTGTTTTGTTTTACCACGCGTGACGTTACCTTATTAAGAATGCACTGAAACTGACTGCGACTTCCATCGCGGCGTGCGGTATTCCATTTCTGGAGCAATTCCCACAAACGCTCGCCCAGCGTCCGACCAGCCAACCCTCTGGCCAGCCAGCCAGCGGGCCTTAACAAAAAATATTCCACGGATGTCATCGTTTACAGCCACGCTCTGTATAAATTCACGACAAGTATATGATTAGTTTACTATTTAACCACCCAAAAAAAAAAAAACCTGTTTATTTTTTCAAAGCCGTTGAATAATTTTTTTTTATTTACTTTCAGCCATGGGAAAGTGACAACTTTGGCAAGTTCGTGGGTGTTCAGGTCATGCGCTGCTGCTGCTTTGGCAATAAAAAAAACCCCGCCCACAACAACGTTCGCATGAGCAGCCACGGCATCCCGCACAGCGGCTTGGATTCTCAGTATTAACCACAAACTGGCGAGTTATCAGATCGCCCCTTCCTGTGCTACAAGGCTGCTCGCCGGATAAAAGCTTCTGGTGCTAAGCTTGGACGGGATCCTTAGAAGACAAACTTTCACGTGGCCCATAACAAGGGAGTATATTATTATTCTTACATTACTTTACGTACGGATAATGCTGGGAAATGATATGAACATACATATACAGGTATGCGAGGGTATATGGAGTCAATTATATGCTTGTCAAGCCAAGTCAAAGTGTCACCCCCCCCCCCTTGTTTCAAAACATGCCACAGGATGGTAGTCATCTGTCAGCAGCTGTGATCCAATGGTGGAAATTCCACGTTCCTGTGGAGGGCCCAATATATAAAGAGGGCAAGCATGGATGAATCCCCACAAATCGGTACTTGTTCTTGCCGAGCCAAAGAAATTAGAAAATGAGTCTACCCCCCAACTGGGATTTTGACTCGCAAGCAACCGCTTACAAATAGATTGCTTTAACTGCAGCACTCAAAGTCAAGGTGATTTTCCGCTCAAATGAGCGTGGTGGTAGTGCTCATCTCCCGTTTGCAGCCCCGATCCAGGATTGGAATAACCACATTACTATGGCAGGGAAAAGCATATCCACAAGGGAGGTGGGGGATGATGGACCTGGATTTTAACTTGGAACCTTGCAATACCGAGCCGCTCACTCCACCGCTGTGCCACCTGGCTGGATGTACACATGTACACTTACAAAGTCATTTTTTTTTAATGCATCCGTAATAGGAATACGTGAAATCACTGCTGCTTCAGGGATGACATGAAATGAAAGAGATAACAGGGGAAATGTATTTCTGGCTAGGCAAGGAAGAAAGTTACATGTTTTGGCCACCTGCCCCTTGCTAATGAATAACAGCGTTCATTAATATTCCACAGTATATCAAAACTGCTATGCAGTGCGAGGCAAGCGAGCAGATTTCATAGGTCACAGCAAATACAGTACTGAGATGTGTGCGTGGATATATAGCCCTTCTGACAAGACGCCTGCACACACTAGCACGAGAGAAAATAAATGTTACAACAATTAATTATTTCGGATTGTGACATTGGAGGTGATGTATAGGACTTTGCTTTAAATTCTTGAAGTTGGTTAACTTTCGTGCGTTCCAAAAACAATATAATTAAATTGGATTAAGTCTAAAGGTTATCCCCCTTACAACGTTATGATGGTCATTCCGTTGGAGAATAAATTTGACACAGTTCAATCGTGACTGCGGGCAGCACAACCCTGCACATGGGGGCATGCGTTTGTATGACCTGCAATCACTCACTCATGCCGCTACTGCTGACGGAAGGGCCTGCATCAGAGGCCCAGGAAAACCCCACGACAGCGTATTTGGCCTATTCCTCCACCAATCTGACCAGGGCATCTTGGAACAGGTGCAAGTAACCCACACTATGAATCGAGCGACACTCCCCTTAGTTTAACACGTAGGTGCTCACGACCAATATTATCCATTAGAGGGTTTTTTTTTGTGGTTAGATCGCGAAAAAAGACACGTATATTTACGTGATCAAACCCAAAAAAACCTCCATTGTTTAAAGCCGCCCCCCCCCCGTCATTCCACTGCTGGATGAAGGACTCCGCACGTCGCGCGAGTCACGGGGGATGTCTTGACTACAGCTCGCCACGCAGGTTGATGCGCGTTGGCGACGCAGCGGGGACGATTTCGAGATCGCACGCCACTGATGCTGGCCGGGAATCAAACTCGGGTCGCTGGGCTCACAGCGCAGTGTACGATTTGCGTGCGCAGCTCCTCGCCATTTAAAGAAATACAGAATCAGAATATGTATTTCTCCCGGGGAAATGCGATGAGCCTATTGAAGCTCTTTTTCACATATGTCTGGATTAGGGGCGCAGGTCAGGAAGTTACAACAAACAATGCAAAAAACACGATCGGAGTGCAGAGTATAGGAAAGGAAAGCAAATCACAGAAAAATTAAGACGTAAAATAGATCAAGCGTACAACCATTGCTAAGGGTGTGCAAAGCCTTGTAAAAGTTGATTCTTCTGGCCTTCTCTCTGTCCAGCCAGCGGAAAGGTGACATGAACCGTGATACATGGCAAGCGCGTATCACTCGCAGTGGGGTTCAAGTGTGAGCGGCACGCATTGCTGCTTTGCTAGCCATCTAAACATTTATATTTTACCAGGTAAGGCCCAGTGAACTATACCACTCTTTTTCAGAAGCGACCTGGCCATCAACGAAGTGGCTTATCATGTGGAAATTTAGACGTACGTTTCTAAATGTGGAGGGAAAAACCAGAGAACCCGGAGAAAAATACCACACGACCACAGGAAGAGCGGACATACAAACTCAAAATACAGGCGTCAAGGGTCGGGGATTGAACCCACGACCTGCTGTAAACCAGGCGAGGTAGTTAATGTCTCGCCACCGAGTAGTGGCAGGGTAATCTAAATCGAGTAGCAGCACTTGGTATTTTGCTTGGTTTAAATTTATTTTCACATTGTTTAGTCAGGAGCCAGCTCCGTTACAAGCTGGGCTTGTATCCCAACAGCATTTGGAGTCAGCTGGAGATGACACTGATGAAATCAGGACTCCGCAGGGGTTAAAGTCAACCAGGCAATTTCCAAGAGACCACACGTGGATGCGCTTGTCAGATAAATGTAGTTATCATTAACTCTGCATTGATGTAATAGATTCCATTTAATAACGTCAAAAAATCGCAGCGCTCACCTGGGGAGATTTACAATGACATGAGATGCATTAGCTTAGCATCAAGAAGGCAGAGCTAATGTGTACATATATTTATACCCTCGTAACACAGGCGTGTTCCCACAATCAATAACGCGCAGCAATGACTTAATTCCATAAGATTGGCGGAGTGGCTTGAACATAACCACGATTACCCCGTCAAGATAACGTACGAGGAACTGGGAATTTTAATTCACGACTGGAGGATAAAAAAGCAGAATTTGGGGGTTTGTAAGAATACATCATCTCAACAAGGTGAGGTAGTTAACATCTTGTCCCCGCGGCACCCCATCTGGGCCAGCATGGGAGAGTACTTTTATTTTATTTTTTTACACAAAATTGCTCAGCACAGGACCAAAGGGCCCAAAAAACCTCAAGATGCCAGCAACAAACATCACTATCAAAGTTGTAACAAATAAGAGTATTATATTTCAAGAATTGAGCAAGGTCATGATGAGAGCTTGCGAAAAGAGACGGCGATGATTGGAGAGGGAATTCCCAAGTGCAGCAGTGCGAGTGGGTGCGTGCGTGAGTGAGCGAGTGAATAAGTAGGTGACCGAGTGGTTGGATGAGCGAGTGACGCGCAGTGTAGTGATCGAACAGTGAGGATGTGGCCAGGCCAGTGGACCGAGTCCTCAACATGGTCCTCAACATAGACACCGAGTCAACAGCAAACTTGCAACCTTCCTCCGAAGCGTGCCAGAGCGTGCCAGAGCGTACCAGAGCGGAGCAGAGCGGTCCAGTGCCGAGCATGCAGCGCAACTCACACTTGGAAGGCAAGCGGTATCCGCAGGTGATTTTGGCCTTGCCGGTGCTGCATCCTCCGAGGGAGCGACACTCTTCCTTCAGCAGGGACCCCGCCGACCTGTGGATGCATCCGTCCACTGCCAAGAACAGGGCGGCAGCAAAGGGCGTCAGTCTTCACGGCGGAACGAGCGGAACGCACGCGGCCCACCGAAACGCACTGCGCTCTCACTCTCCGCACCTCCGATTAGCACGGTTGGCTACGTACGGTGCGAAAGAAGTTCAACATACATACTTGCGCACTGTCGCACAGTTGTGGAAGTAGTGCTGGGTGGCATGCCACGCATACAGGCGTTCACACACACACACACATAGCTCGGCACTCAAGTGTATCGGGAGTCGATCAACATCATGGGCTACATGTACATATAACAACCTCCGTTCACAACTAAGCGGCGGCGACGTCACCACGGTGCCTGTGCCACGCTAGGTGCACTTTGAGACCACGTGTAGTGTGGAAGGCTCGCTGGTAGGACGTCACGGAACAGACCCAGGTGCCATGGGGTGACTGACCGAGATGGCTGGCAGAAGCACCATGTAAATATGCGTGCGCACACTCACACACGCATAAACACGATCATTGTCACCAATGGCATCACAATCATTCATTCATCCATATTTGTTTTTGCCTAGTTTTATATTGGAGATTCGTCACGTTTGTAGGATGGTGGAGGGTTAATGAAAATAACTTTGGCACAATTAGCAGCACACGACCCAACCCAAGCCAATAAACAAGCATCAAAATTACGTACGAGCTCGGACAGCCGACATTTTATAATTATAATCATCGTTTATCCACTGCCGGATGAAGACCTCTGCGCGTGCAGTCGTCACCTTTCCCCGTGGTCCTTGGCTACCAGAAAGGATCTCACTCCTTATATCCGCAGTGGCCGTGCCGCCACGCACGCTCAGTCTCTCTCGGGCTGCCATTCCAACGCCACTGTGGCGCATCCATCACCGTCCCTTGCGTCCGCGTATCCCGTCCAAGGACAATTGGACAACTACTGGCCATCTGTGAACAAGAGCTTCGTAGCGCATCGGATTCCTCCTGCAAGTCAAATTAAAGATTCTGATTCTGACGTACTTCTTCTTGGCTCCTCAGACTAAACTAAGCAATTTTTATTTTACCAGTTAAGGCCCACTGAGCTACATAGCTCTTTTTCAGAAGCGACCTGCCCACAAATGGTAGCTCAACGAAGTGGCTCATCATGTGGAAATGTATAGCGGCCAAAAACTCTGAACGTACGTCGATTCTTAATGCGGAGGGAAAAACCCGGAGGACCCGGAGAAAAATACACACGACCACAGGCAGAGAGAGAGAGAGAGAGACACGCACACAACAGCAAGCGTCACTGTCGGGATCGAAACCCACGACCTCCTGTGTACCAGGCGAGGGAGTTAACGTCTCCTAGCCACCGTGGCGCGATTACGCGGCGAGCGCCTGCAAAAGGCCCGAGCACGGCACACACAAGGGAGGTGGGAATGGCCGGCGGCGTGTTCACACACGTCCACGGCCGTCTCCGGGCTGCTGACAATGGCCACGGGCACAACGCAGCAGCAGGAATTCATTTCACGCCGACACCCCTAAGGAGAGCCCCCCCCCCGCCCCCACCCCCCGCCGATGCAAGGTTCCCTGTACGAATTTCCAATGTTGTTGTTTGCGCGTGGGCAGAAATCAAATGCGTCTTGCCGTCGCACCATCCCACCGCTACATGAAAACCAAGATGCCAGCAATTTCCCATTGCACGTATCGGTGCCGGGCTAGGTGCAGCTTGCTAGCAAGTATCCTCATCGACTGTCGGGGGGGAAATGCTGTTGAGTGAGCACCTGCTAAAGCCAGCATTGCACGTACCGGGGTGGGGTACGGCCACTGATACGCACACGTTCAAACAGTCTTACACATGGCACCAGGTACCCATTTAAGGCTGAGTCGACCTACAGCACACGAACCACTTCTGTATCATTAAGAGGGGCCCCATTGCCCAAAACGTGACCCCGTTGTGCATATTTAGATTCAAGGCCGCGGTGTTTTTTTACGAACGTGCCGCGTTTTTTTCCTTCTTCAAATTTTACTCGCGTGGAAAGTGCAAGCGCCGTGCTGAATCCCGTTATCTGTGGCCCCCCGCTACCCAAGCGGCATCCCCGTGTAAAATCGTCTCCCGTAACGACAAAGCGCGGCTTTGCCCACACGCGTTCCGCAGCATGCGGTTGGGCTGCGCGATAGGCCACGACAAATGCACACAATGCAACAACAGCATCCCGCCACTCGCCGCTAACTGACGGGTGACATCACCGCGGCGCCCACGCCAGGCCAGGTGCACTTTGAGGCCACGTGAAGCGTCGAAGGCCTTCGACACACGACTTTGCAGGTACGTATAAACGTAACGTGTGTGTGTGTGTGCGCGTGCACGCACACACATGTATTGACAGCTTTGATCCGGCAGCTGACATCAAAGTAAAACTACAACGGTGGCTGTTCGTCACGAATCGTAGCCACGCGAACGACCGACGGCAATCAAAAAAATATTAATATCACAGAAAAAACCAAAGGCGGTTGGGTCAGAGAGCACCGTGGGAATTGATGCTGTAGAAAGCTCGCTTCCTGCTTGTTTATTGCCTATGCTTCACAATGAGGGGCAATATTTTCTGCGGCAAATGAAGAAAATAAAATACGACCGGAAAATGTCATTTTCCACGAGTGGCCTCTGGGAAGGGAACATTTAGGGGCCTCTACCAGTGGGCTTAGCACCAAACAGTTCTAATAATTTTAGGCAATAAATAAGGGCGAATAAAAATATATATGCAAACACACGCAACTTTATTAAGAGTGAGCCTTTCAAACAATGTGGAAACTCTGAACAAAAATAAAAATAGGCTTTGCATCAACGCGAACCTTTTTAGCAGCAGATTTACAACTATACATATAAAACCCCAAATCCCGTCATACAAAATTCACGTAACATTTCTTTTGATCGCAAGACCTTGTGAAACGATCAGACGAGCCATTTGTCAAAGCTTTAATCTTCAATGCAAATAAAAAAAATCCTCCCTGAAAAATAATATACAGTCCGTGAAGCAAATATCCTCCATATCTGGAGCCTCGTTAAAGCGAGACTCAATCAAACGCAACCATCTTGTGCTACGTCACAAGGAACTAAATGAAAGCTATGTTTATTTTATATTCTTGGTTCTTTCGGTAGTCACGTAGAAGGGAAACAAAAATAATAATAAAAAATATATATCCCTGCAGTCACAAAAGCTTTAAATAAAAATTTATGTTTATTTTACCAGGTAAGGCCCATTGAGCTAAAGTTGCTCTTTTTCAGACGCTTCAACGACGTGGCTTATCGTGTGGAAATTTATAGCAGCCAAATACTCTCAACGAGTGATGTTAAGTCTAAATGTGGAGGGAAAAACCAGAGGACCTGAAGAAAAATCCACGTGACCACGGGGTGAACACGCAAACTCCAAAGATACACGCGTTTGGATCGGGATCGAACCCATGACCTCTTGTATACCAGGCGAGGTAATTAACATCTCGTCAGCGTGGCGCCCCGGCACGTGGCTTGGGAAACTTGTAAATCCCGACACCGGCCAAAAGAATCACAACGAGGCTTTAACGGCAGAAACGTAACACCACTTCACGGGAACTCAATCGTGGTCATTCTATAGATAAGACTTTCACCATCACACAATGTGGAATTTCCGCAACTGGCACAGCTGTGTGAAATTGCCCAGCAGCGAGATGAGCACCGTTCTCTCACGGTCGTTTCAGCCGGGATACAATCGCTAAAAATAAAATCGGATCCGTCTCCAAGTTTAAAAGGAATTTTCAACAAATCTGCCTCTGCAAAACATCCGAACAGTGAACTCGGCAGCCAAACGCTTTGCATCGTGCACGCAAATCATCCCTCGGTGCGGTCCCAAACCATAGCAAAATTTAATTCCCACCACTGGTTCTGAACTCCCAATGGAGTCTGGCAATGCACAGTGTCTACTACCCTAATTCAGCAAAAAGATTGGAAACACAGCCAGGATTTTTTCGGGGCACGAAAAGTTTCGTGAACGTTTGTGGAATATCTAATGCCCTTGTCCCAACATTCCCAAGTTGGCGCCCCCCCCCCCCCCCCCCCCCTTCTTAAGTGGTCCGAGCCTTGCCGCTAGCTAAGCATCAAAGGCCACGTCGCCTGCTTACTGGTAGAAGTCAACAAACGCACTTTCGCCTGATCCAAGATCAATTTATTCCCCTTGGTTTCTGGGTGCGGTGTAAAAGAAAGAACGCATCGCTGCCCTTTGGTAGCAAGGGAGAACCGATATATGCGTGGGAATATATTTATTTAGCAAGTTTATATTTATTTTTCATATTCCAATCATGTCTTGAGAATAACACATGAACACGGGGGAACTCTAGATAAACGGTGCGTGGGAAAACGGCCCGGCAAGGTGAAGTCACGCAACGACTACTTAAAGTCGCTTCGAGCGGCGTTTTAACCGCGCTCGGGACAGCTAGTTTAATGCCCTATAAGAGATTGCTAATGGCATGTCAATCAAACAGACATTTTGAAGCCTCAAGAGCTGGAATAAGATGAAGTGAGGGGAAACCAGTTTTAATGCGGTGGCTTCTTTGGCCAGCCATTGAGGACTGGTCTGACATCAACAAATCTACTCCTCTGAGAGAATTTGCTTTTATCACTGGTGGCTGAAGCCCCCGGATTCAAACCCAAGGTCTTAATGCTGGCCCGGTGCTCTGACCCAAACAAGTTGGCCTCCTCTTCCTACGGAACGCTACTTATACAAGTGAGCAGCTGTGAAGCCTTGCGGCCATGCATTAACGCTTCCTTTATAACAGCCTGGGGGGATGTGCTGCCGCGATGTAATGGCCATCACGCTGGGCTTGCAATCCAGATGACGTTGGTTCAATCTCGCGGCGAGGCAGTTGAAGCGATGGGTTTGTCGAACCCGACACGCCTCTGCCCACTCGGCGGTATAATGGCGGCGGCGGCGCAGTTAGTCGATTGGCAGGTCAAGTGCGGTGGGGCAAAGTGTGGGTAATGCTCCATCTCCCCGGATGTCTGACCAG